GTAATAATTGAGGCTTGCTGGGCCAAGTGAGTTCATATACACCTACTGATGTTCTGCTTTAATTTACCACTATGGATTTTATTGATACGCATGATTTACTGCAGTGAGCCATGGAAACGTCCTTCGTTTGAAGGTATCATGGATTCTTTGAGATCATTGATCAAACCCCCTGCACCTCAACCTGGTCGTCCACCATTGCTTTCCTGAATGGCTGGAATCTGGAGTTAATTTACTGCACATACCTCGGAACTTTATTAGATTTGATGTCTAACAGGACTATGCTGTTTTACTTTTTAGGAGTTCCAGGTGCGTACCAAAATCTGTATTGACCTTGTATGGCACTAGATCTGGCTTAGCCATTGTTCTTCGCCTCTTCTGGATAGTGTCTTGTTGGTATGGGGGAATATATGTCAAATTTTTTAACGGAGTCAAGCGAGTTTATGTTCAAATCTAGCTAGAGCTCAAATCCCCCCCATGGGTTTTCTGTCAGATTTCTTTATTCCTGATGGTATTGGCTTCAAATTTTTGGCGTGTCCTGATTCTTTTGACCAGACCATGATTTTTCTGTAAATAAAGAAGGCGGGAACAAAAGATAAACTAATGCTTGTTCTTGTTTACTTGGTTGCAGAGTCAATTGTATATTTGTGTCCTAATTGGAATTAAGAAATCTGATGTGCAACGGAAAGCGGTCGCCCGTCTTTATTCCAACAAAATATTGTTTGATCAGGTGATACTGTAATTTCATGAAGAAATGTTGTATAATTCTTTTATCCTCGATTTTGTATGTAAATTCTCCGTTGTAATTAGATTCAGTTAATGATAAGCAGCGTTGCTTGCATTTTTGCACATTTTGTTGGGCATTGGCTCTGGTCACGGTTGAAGGCGGTCAATGAAATGAGTACACGATGACTGTCATCCCCTTTGCCATGGGAACCGAACTAATTTCCAATGAAATAGTATTCTATTAGCAGCCAACTGTGACTGCAGGCTTTTGACCCTGAACGTGTTTATTTTTATTATTCGACATGTGCAATGTTATTTTATTTATGCATTTTTATTATATATTTTTCACCACATAAAATTTTACATTATTTATATATATTTTTCAACAAATCAAGTTTTACATGACAAAATTACATACCTTAAAATTCTTACATTTTTAAAGTGATTATACATTTTAATATATTTTTCGTTATACACCGTCCCAACAATTTTCTTTTTCTTTTTATAAAAATGTATTTAAATATGAATCTTATCTCACTGACTAATTCTTGCCAAACTTGAAGTTAGGTAAATAGACTTGGCGAATTTAAAAACCTAATCATGGTTGCAAGAAGTCGCTTGTAAAAATCATCTCATTATGCTTAATCTCAATGAGAGAGCAGTTAAACGTCGGATGGTTTCCATTCCGTCTGTATGCAGTCTTCGGTTTCATTTGAAATTACGTTTATGCACAATTATAAATGTTTTATATAAATTAAGATAAATTTTTTCTCAGGCTCATTTAATATTTACATGACAATTGAAAAGTTATTTATAAGTTATTCTAAACAGATTTTTAATTAATCAATCAATTTTCAAGGGTTATGTTGCTAGATAATTTACTTTATTAACAAATTTAGCTTTTTTCTTTCTTTTTTCTTTTCAAAAACTGAATGGACTTGAATGATTAAAGGGTTTAAATAAGTTGAGGAGAATTAATGGTAATTGGGTTGAGTAAAAGGGGAATTAAGACTTCTTGATCAATTGGGTTTGAGAAGGGAAATCATGTTAAGAGTTTTCTTTTAATTGAAGATTGAATAAAAAATTCAAGATTGAGTGAATTACCACGACATAATTTGTCGGGTGAAAGGAAAAATTGTGCGGATGGCAGATAAAAGGAAAAATATGGGAGCCTGGTCTTGCTTTTTTTAGTACCATGAGCTGCCCCCTAATTATTTTTTGAGAAACTATATCATTCTTTTCACTTGAATATATACTACCGCACATGATTAATGAGAATGTTTTAAGGAAAAAAATATATACTTCTCCGGTCATAAATATAAAACTCTTATACACACTGTATAAGAGTTTATATTTACGATCGGAAGAGTATTTACTATAAATAACTAACTTAGCTGACTTCATTCATATTTATGAATTAGTTATCTAACTTTTGTATTAAGAACAAAAAAAAAAGTAATACATATATAAGAAGAACTAGATGTTTGATTTGAAGAACAGGTTTGGAGCCCCGAAGACCTTTCTCAGAATGCAGTTTAATTCTAACTGGTGTTTGGTTTGGTTTTTGTTTAGGTTCAGCTTTCCATATAAATGCTGGAGACACATCCCTTTGGATGGATCGAAGGAAACGGGCCTCTGGAGACAGAAACTCAGGGGACGCAATTTGAATGGTCGCCACTTGCCAGTCCACATTGAGAAGGAATTGAGTTCGTTAAGTACAGTCCCTGGCATGGAGATCCTCTGCTGTGCTCTTTAATTCTAATTTTAAAATGATGCCAGAATAAGAGAATGACCTATTTTTACGTACGTGTGATACCATTTATAAATTCATTTTAAATCAAGCATGATCTCATAATATACTCCTTTGGTTCTAAATATAAAACCCTTATACACATTTGTACAAGGGTTTTATATTTAGGACAAGAGAAGTAATTATTATTGGAAGAGTTATAATAAAGCCCAAAAAAAATTACAAAATAAATTTTAAAAGTTGTCATTTCCTATTTTGAATTTATCATTACAGGTTACTTAAATTATTATTGAGACTTTTTAATGATTATTTTTGTTGAGACCTCATTGTAATTCTCTTATTATTATTCCTCCCCCCACCCCAAAATAAAATAACTTGTTAACAAATTTAAAAAGATTTAATTGAAACTAGTTAATTTTTAAAATTTTCATAATCACTTTTAATGAAGATTATTAAATACATGTGTTTAAATTATTTTAGCCGACAGAAATTTTAGGCACAACATTTTATTCTATCCTACTTTATAACCAGATAGATATACTTTAATTCACAGACATTTTATTCAGTTCTAGCCTATCTCTCTTTAATTTGAATATATTAAAAAAATTAGTTCAATTAATTATTTATAATAAATGTATATTGGTTTTCTTAGAATGTCTGTTCTAATCATATGCTATGTCTGGTTTTTAATATAAAGTTAGATAACTGATTTAGAAATATTAAAAAAAATAGTTAATTTAGTTATTTGTGATAAATGGATATTGTATTTTCTAAAATAATTTTATTAATTATATACTCCCTCCGTCTCTTATTATAAAATCTTTTTTTTGAATGGGTTTGTCTTTTTTATAAAATCCTCTTTGAATTTGTCTGAGCATTTAATACATTATTACTTATTTTACTCATAATTTAATTCATTAAATACATTCTTTTTGTTCATTTATTTTACTATTACTCTCTAATATTTATCCATTTATATATAGGAGTGTACTTGGGGAAATATTGCATTCGCTACATATTAATTATTTTTAACTAATTTTAACTTCTTAATGCGTGCAATTATTAGAGGAATGATTTTGAGGACATAATGAATAAACATAGAAGACAACATAAATTTGAGTCTTATATTTATAAATTGAATCTTTAACTTTTTTGGTGTGAAGGTTATATACTACTTTTGATTTTAATTATAAGATTTTATTTACAAACTTCAAATAAAATTTTATAATTGTGACGGAAGGTAATATTAAGATTGGAATGGATTGCATTGTAACTTAGGTTCCGTTTGGCAGGGCTTTTGAGAGGCTTAAAAGTAGCTTATTTGTAGTGTAAGCCCGATTGGAAAAATCATGCTGTTTGGTTGGGCTTAAAAAAAAAAAGGAGCTTATAAAATTTAAGCCAGCAAATGTACATTGTCTCTCAAGCTGAATTTTATAGCTTATTGAAGAGCTTCTTTTCTACCAGAGCTTCTTTTCTCTCACTTCTGCCATATTTTCTCATTTCAACTTTCTTCGTTTTTTTCACCTCAGCTCTCCCACAATTTCGTTGCTGTCAGAGGGTCCTTTTTTTTTTTTATTTCCTCCTTTGTTGTTCTCCCACTTCTATCATTATTCCCTATTTACTTCTTCTTCTTTTTTTTTATCAAGCTTTCATCACCCATGACCCCTCTCAGATTAACGTAAAGGCTCATTACTTTGCCGCCCAAGGAGCTTCATTTTTAAAATATTTTTTTTGATTTTAAAATTTTAAATTTTAAATCACCTGTTAAATTTCACTTCTTCATATTAAATTAATTTAAATTTATTATATTATACAAATTTTTTTATCATGTTTCGTTATTTATTAAAACTCATATTTATTTTGGTCATTTTACAACCAGACTTACTTTTACTCAACCATAATCCAAACAACTTTTTATCAATCTTACTTTTGCAAACTAGCTTTTTTAAACTCCAATCCAAACACAATTCAGCTTATTCAATTTAGCTTTTATCCAACTTCACTTATCCATAAACTACTTTTTTAATAAGCTACTTTTCTAATCGCTAATCCAAACGGGCACTTAGTTCTCATATGAAATCCCTTACGGACGGTCGGTCGGTCATGTTATTATTCTCATTTTCAATTTTCAATTTTTAATTGGCTGAGTTAGCCGGGATAGGAAATCCAGCCTTGAGATGTTGACGGTGGGCCAAAAGAAATCAGAGGTCCCAAAATTAAAATCCAAAACAAAGTTTTGGTGCTTTGTGATTGGCCAGGAGACTTAGCTTCGCCCCCAAGGAATGAATACCAACTCTCGTAAAATCTGACCAAGCCAGGACACGAGACAAAAATATCTACCACACATGTGGGCCCGGCTGTCTCGTTCCCAACAGCCACCAGCACTTCTGTTACTGTGACTGTCGAAACCTTCGTCAGTTCAACCTTAACCAGGAAAACCGAAAAAATTATCAGGAAAATCAAAGGGGGGAAAAAAAACACTAAGAAACCAAGAAAACGAACGTAACTGCCAGGAAACCACCTCTAAGGTCGGTGCTTTCTCAGTGTATCAGATGGAACCCAGGCCAACCCCACCCTCGAAACTAATCTCCAATGGACTCTACTCCTACTACAGCTACAAGAAGAAGAAGGGTCGACGAAGATCCTCCACCGCCTTTCTCCTATCCTTCAAAGATTTTTCTCGAACCCCTTGTCGGCAGCATACGCTATTACTACTGTGACCTTCCCAAACTTATAAAAACCTGGGCAAATCGGCTCCTGGCTGATCATTCTTTTATCTTTTTTGCGTCTTGTGAACTAGTACACTGTTTGGTCCCCGCGACCAACATGAACCCGAACGACGAAGGTCAACCAAATTCTCCAAAGAGGTCGAAGGGTAAAGCTCCGGCTGACATGTCTTCTTCGGGTCATTTGGAGCAGGAAACATATGGATTCTCTCTCATGGAATTAAGTTCTGGAGCATTCGGAGATGCCTCAGCTGGTCTCTCAATGGTGGACATTGGCCTTTCTGGCCATCCTCCTTCGTCTTTGTATGATTCTCCTTTCATGGAATTTAGAGCATTCTCAACCATGAGTCCGACATCTCTGGCTTCGCCTCCTCCTCCTCCTGCTTCTGTCAGTGATGAGAGAGCTCCTTCGGTACCAACAACTATTAAGGAGGAGACTGGATTAATAGAAACAAGCGGTGAGTTGGAGGACGTTGATGTGCCACAGCCGCTTGACTGTTTACAGGAGAATCCGATTCCGCCATTTCTATGGAAAACTTACGATCTGGTGGATGATCCATCTCTGGATCCAATCATATCATGGGGCTCGGCCGGTGCTAGTTTCGTGGTATGGGACCCTGTGGAATTTGCGAGGATCGTGTTGCCAAGAAATTTCAAGCATAACAATTTCTCCAGTTTTGTCCGCCAGCTTAATACTTATGTGGGTATTGCTTTAACACAGCCTGGAAAGGCTGCTGTGATCTGTATGTAAATATTGTGTGCCGTTTTTTTTCAATTAATTTGTGTTGTATTTTCCCCCTTTCCTTGTATTTGTTGTAATAGTTCTTCCCTGTGTTTGATGTTTTTCTTTGTAACTGGGTTTGGTAATTGAATCGACCATGTATACTTGTAGAGTATATTGTATCAACTGGAATGTAACGATTTCGGACATTTTGCTTGTGTATCGTTGTCCTCCTTATTTGCTTAGAATATTCTCTGAATGATCTTTCTGTGTCAATTTGGCCTTGGAATGGTTGGATTTGTTCTTGATATCTGTATTTTTGCAGCGAGAGGGAGACAAATTTTCCTCTCTCTCTCTCGGACTATTTTATGTGTCATTTGTTAAAAGCGGACTTGTAAATATTCGCCTTCTCTTCGTAGCAGCTATGAGGGTAAAATCTTTGTCACTGATGGTACTGAATAATTAAAGCTTGGTTCAGATGTTTTCTTAATTCCATTGTAGCTAGGATTGAGAGATTGGCGACTGAAGGAATATTTGGCCTCCTGAGTTTCTTCTGTTGTAAGGATGTTATCTTCAGCAATTTGTATCCCAGGTTTCGGTGGGGAATTTGCGATTCCGTTACAATTTGATTATTGCTGAATGTTATCATCTTGATAATTTCCCCCTGTCTGTGTAAGCTTGCCATTGCTCACAGATTGCATACTCAAATACAGCACCATCTCATCATGATGGCCTATAGTTTGGTGACCAAACAGTTTTCTATCTCATACTTTGCTTATGATTTGTTTCATTTTCCTCTCCCTACTTGCCTTGGGTCACTTCTGCTTCTACTCTATTCATTTTTCATGTCTCTTTCGCATTTTCATCCAGGGATTCCGCAAGATTGATCCTGATAAGTGGGAGTTTGCGAATGAAGGTTTCAAGCAAGGGAAGAGACATCTATTGAAGAACATACAAAGGCGTAGATCACTGCAATCCCAGCATGCTGTTAATGTTGGGCCATCCACTGAAGCAGGAAAGTCTGGGGTTGAGATCGAGATAGGAAGACTGAGAAAGGAGAGAAGTATGTTAGTCCAAGATTTGGTTGACTTGCAGCAACAACAGAGAAGGACTGTTCAGCAGGCGGGACAAGTGAGCCAGAGGCTGGAGTCTGCAGAGCAGAGACAGAAACAGATGGTTTCTTTCTTAGCGAAGCTATTTCAAAATCCAGCATTTTTAGCCCGCCTGAGGCAAAAGAAGGAACCGACAGGTATAGGTTCTCCCAGAGTGAGAAGGAAGTTTGTCAAGCAGCACCAGCACGAAACAGGAATATCAGGCTCTTTGAATGAAGGGCAGATTGTAAAATACCAACCTGATTGGAGAGACATTACCAACCCTTCGGAAACACCGGTACTAAATCCAATTTCTACCGAAGAGTCTCCTGAGTACCCTGCACAGAGTTGGGCAAGAGAACTTGCTTCAGTAGCAGAAAATCCGTATGTGCAACCTGATGTTGCTGTATCAGATGAATTGGCTGTACCTGGTGAAATAATGACAACTCCAGAGATCATAGGAGAAGGATCGTCAAGCTTACGGCTTGAAGATCCTCTTTGGAAAGGAAAAAACGTCATGAGACCAGATCAAGAAGTTATCCCAGAGGATCTGAGCAGGGAGAAAAGTTTTTCAATGTTTTACCCGCCTGAAGCTGAAAGCGTCATTAAACAAGATGTATGGAACCCGGGCTTTAACGTTAGCAGTGCTACTCCTAGCTCTGTGAATGAGCTGTGGGACAATCCAATTCCAATCAATTATGAAGTGCCGGAATTTGGAGTGACAGGCGGCATGTCAGACCTCTGGGATGTGAGCTATATGCAAGAAACAGGAAATTCAGGCTTCGATGTCGATAAGTGGCCAGCTGAAGAGTTCCCTCACAATGAAACAGAAGATGAGGCTGATCGCCCGAAAGATGATAGATCTAAGAATGTCGATCCATAGGGCTTTGCTTTTGCCTTTGCTTCCCTTGGATTTTTAATATGCCTTAGTTCATAGGTTTCTTATAATTGAACTATTTGCTTTTCAAATAGTGTTCGATTCACCCATTCTAATTCTTAATTTCCATATTTATTTATTCATTTATTTTTATTATCTGTATAAATTATTTTCTCCCTTGATGGATGATTTAAGCGAACAAGTGCAGGTATGTAACTTCAAGTATTGGAAAACCTCTTCTTCTTGAGTTTTGATTGACTTACCTTTTGCACTGCCTTTTTTGGTACCAAAAGAAAAGTGGGGAAATCCTGAAACGGTATGCCATTCAAATGAGACCTGCTTAATTCCTCATGTTATTATCTCCCTTGCTTGTTGCATGCCTGTTTATTGAATTTCTGAGATGAATGGCCTTTGTTTATTTCATTCTAATGATTTATTTTCGTTTATTCTCTTTATCCGACATATGGCATGACCTGATCAATGGAAAGCGTAGCCATCCTAAATATTAAGCATCTTTGGGCAATTCAATAACAGTATTCTATTCCTGCCCTAACAAGTGACTGCCATAATCAATGCTTAACGAAACCCCCAGTCGAATGAGTAGCGGCATATCCAGTGACGTTGTGAGGTATTGCGAAGACTGCAGCTCCCAAACTTCGGCGAGCCCTCATTGCTGTCTTGTGTTTAGAGAATTAACTATCATCTTCTGTTATGCAACATGATACGTAAGTGATGCTGCTGAAGCATGTCCCTTTCTCCGTGATCTCCATACCTCCACGTAGACCTTTGCGGTTTTGTCTATTGATGATAGTCACTTTTTTTACTTGGGGGAGTTTTCTTTACTCTTGAAATTTTCACTGATGACTTTTAGGAGTCAACCTTCATGATTGGGAAGTTTTTTCTCCCAAGGGTTCACCTTGTAAATGTGTCATAATTGTAATTCCATATTGTACTGCTGATATTATGGTTTTCACACCCCCCCCCCCCAAATCCAAAGGAGTTTTGGGTTTTCAAAGTTGGTGTTTAGAATTTTTTTAGCGGTGTTTGTAAATGGTATCTGTGTCGTGGAGATCTGCAATCGAGATAGTCTGCAGAGAAAGTATAATAGCATAAAATAGAATGTGAATCTCAAATTTATCTTTCATGTATGGATGCAGAACAGAGCATCCTAATCGATCTGTTATGCATGTGATTGGTTTTCAGAAGCGAGAATAGATTGACCACCCCCTCCCCCGGGACATAGACAAAATCCCTCGGGGCACCTTCGATTAATTTTATTTGAGTTTACGATGATTTATGGAGGAGAAAACTAAGTACTCAAAACAGAAACACAGATGTCATATCCAAGATGAGTTTGAGAAAGAACGCGGTACGAGAGAATTAGATCAAGCAACTTAAAAGTTGAAACATAGACGCCGTAAGCCAAGAAATATTCAGTAATGAGCTCATTCTCCTCTTCAAAGGTACAGAGGTATAAAACAAGTTTAATTGAAAGGGAAAGAAAGCTTGCAACTTTACGTGCCACTGGAGAATCTGCTCCACCAAGCGTCAGGAAAGGCGAAATTTTTGCCAGCCTCCAAAGATCTCTTGGGTGGACTCGCCAATAAAGTCTCCTTCTCCAATGACTCTGTTGCATGCTCAACAAATTCACGTTCCTTCCGTTTGCTTATATTGTTCAGAAACTGATTTTAAGTTAATCATTTGGTAGACTACAGCAAAACTGTTGGCAAAGTAAGGGATAACCCACAATGCCAGAAAAAAGAAAACACAACCAACAACTCCTCCATTAGAGTGAGTTATGATTTAAAGATCTTCCTTCTTCCTTTTCAATGCATGTTCATGTTCACCACTTGCATTTTTCAATTTGGCTTCTCTGCGTTCCCTCTTCACTCCTTTTGCTTTATTTGGTAAAGCCATTTCTCCAATCTACACAACAGTAAATTGTAAGAATGAATGATCCTTTTCTTCAAGGAATAAGCCAATAATATTATATACATATATATATATATAAATTCAGCCTAATGGTAGGAAAGAATGCAGTTCTAAGCCCCCACGAAGTACAAGAAGCCAAGGAGAAAAATAGAGCGGAAAAAACGGGATCCCACCCCCCCTCCAAAAAAAAAAAATCTGCAAAACACGTAGTTCTTATTTTTCTGGTAACATGCAAGACGTGTAGTTCAATAATAGGAGACATGGCGATAAGTCACAGTATGTAATGAACAAAACATGTGCCGATAATTATTCTTACCTTCTGATCAGGGATGTATATATTTCCAATCTTGCCCTCTATTGCATCCTTCTTAACGTTTTTCTCCTGTACGCAACAGAATATGCACAGAGAACTGTAAACAAAACTTCATATTAATCAATAAAAATCAGAGAAAATCAGGTTATCTAGCCCACCTTTTTCTTTGGTTTCTCCCTTGTAGTTTTCATGGCTTCCTTCCTTAAACTTTCATTTGGAGGACGATGCCGACGAACAACAAAATCCATGGAAGGGCCAACTTCTACTAATTCCATTCTTGGCACGATGGTGCCTGACTTTTTCAGCCTCAACGCACAGTGTGTAAGGTACACCCTATTTGAAGACAGGGCAGTAAATACATATGCACGGTCCAATCCAGCAAGATTTATATTCTCCACAACCTAGAAACGTCAGGATTATCATTTCTTCAATATCAATCCATACGAAAAAAAGTACAAGGTAAGTAAAGCAGGGACTAACCTCTCCCCGAAAAAGATCAAGTAAGACTTCCTTCAGATGTTTAAGCTCTTCCACATTCTCGAATCCTTCTCCAATGAAAGTAATGAAAGGCTTTGACCCTTCTCTGGGTGCTAGCTTCTTGTCATAAGAGAATGATTCCATGGATTTAAAATTTTCAACCCCAACTTCTACTAGATCATAGATATGGTGATCGTAAGTTCTCCCAATCACAAGGTTATTTGGTCGCTTCTTCGAGTGAGATCCATACTACAAAGTACAATCAACCATTAAGAAACTCCTTTGCTCTCCATTTAGCCAGCAAAGAAATCATGACCACGCCCATAGAAAGAAACTACTTGGAGAAGAAAAATAAGTTTGCAGAGTAACGTGGTAAAATCAAGCATCATGATGAAACTATTAAGGACTATAAAAAACATGACAGTTCAATGCCAGTTCTATTTTCTTTCCCTTGCCAAAAGTGACTCGATGGTTTCGTTTATAAGCTTTTTTGTTGTAATAGCGACAGAAAACCACAAGAAATGGAACCGTCAGTCAGAACTCAAACCGTGTTTCTACCCAGCTCAACAGTATTCCTTTATACACAAATAATAACATGATGAATGTACAACGGAAAAATAAATAACCGAACACAGCAACAAGCGGCGGGTTATATGCGCACCACGAAAATGCTACAATCCGTCTTAAGTGAAAAGAATTCCAAAGAAGTATCGCCACCGCTTTCGAATGGCTTGATGTTGTCGTTCTTGCGGCTATATTTTACAGCACTTTCCTTCTTAAGGTGATAGATTTCTGAAAGCACGGCATTTAATACGCTGCTTGTCTTCGTCCCGTGCAATATAAGTGTCTTCTTCCCCGATTCGACCTGCAAAGCACAGTAAGTAATAACACACGCTACTAAATTTCGTTATAATTGAAAGTATAAGTTGAGCAAAAGAGAACAGGTAAAATTTTCATGGCAAGAATCAAATTAGCCAGAAGAGAAAGAGGAAGTGCTGAAGCGCTCACGAGTTTGGGAGCACGCTTCTCAAGCTCCCGTTTACCCTTGCGAGTCTTGGCCGTTTTAATTTCCACCATGGTCACCTTCCGTCCAAGGAATGGACACAACGTTCGTATAAGTATCTGCTTCCAACAGCCGGGGGGCGCCAAGGGCCAAGGCTCAGTTAGGGTTTTCCCCTAAGCTTTAAATCGAAATATCCAATTTACTCAGTATACAATTATTTATAGTTATAAATATAATCTTCAGCAGTTCAGTTGTTTGGTACTATTGTTTTTAATTTTTTTTTAGTTTGCCCGCGTCAAGTTTATTCTGGTTTGTTTTCATATAGACTAAATTGTCCCCCAAAAAAAAAAAACATTGCTGTGATCATCATATACAAATAACTCGTTCATCTCGTTTGAGTTTGTCTAGATAACTAATCATCGTGAAGGTTGGAAAAAAAAAAAACTGTCATCAATTATTCAATTATTTTCAAAAGTATGATATGTTATTAATGAAATATCCTCTTAGACTCTTTATGCAAATAATTTTTCTAAGGCATTGGGTTGTATAAAACATAAAGTTCATTTATATAAAAAAAAATAACGTTCATAAACTTGTTATACTAAAAGGCAAAAAAAAAATTCTTACACAAAAAAATGCAATTTGATATTATTGTTCAAATCATATTTTTTTCATTTGGCATTTTAATCTTATTTATAGTACATTGAAAGATTTTTAAGCTGAAAAAAAATCTATAAGGACTAGGTCATTGTGCACATGAAGCTAGAGAGGTGGATTATTCTTTCAATGACAGTAATAAAAACTCTTAAAAGTTGGCAAAAAAAAAAGACTCTTAATAAGATATGCGCAGTTGTGCACAAGAAAATTAACGAATAAAAACAAAAACATGCCAAAAAAAATGAAATTTCGGTATATAGGAAAAATTAAAAAATTTTCTTACCCACCCCGCACACATAGGCCGCTGGCGGCTGGCAGACGCGGGAGTTTTTTTTTTTTTTTTTAAGGTTAATAAAATCATTTTTATCTAAAATATGAAATCTCATTAATATTTTTGCGATTTTGTGATTTTAGACAAATTTGAGAAATAAAAATTATATTAATCCTTTTATTACTATTCAGTTATTGTTTATATTAAATAATTTTAACAGTTAACAAAAAATAATCATTCACATTCCCAAGTCATGCCTCATAAGACAGGACGCTACATAAAGGCACGAGGGGGGGAGGGTTCAAATTCTTCTAAAAGCAATAGAAATAGCTAATCAACAATTCAGGGGTGTTTAGTAAAACTAAAACCAAGGTTTCAGAATCACTTTTCCGTAAAACGAGATAATCTCATCCATATATTTACTTCGTAATTCGTAAAAGCACTTCTGAAACCATGGTTTGGTTTCTATCCAAACACTCCAAGTTGATTGTTTTATTTTTATTATTTCCTGGGACTGGTTAATCTTTTTTACATTAATGGATTTTATGATTATGGACTGTAAATATTCACCTTTTAATTTTAAATTTTAATGAGAAATAAGAAAGTGCTTTTTCGTGAGAAAATGAACCAATGAGATTGGAGGATAAATTTCTTTCTCCGAAGCCGCACCGCTTCCCCTTACAGACTTCCAACTCAGTTGATATGGGACAGCCAAAAATGATGTTATATGTTATATATCCCTATCGAATGCTTGTTTTCTGAAGCGAGCGAGCTCCACTCCACTACAGCGTTTGTGCACTCAATCCCTAGGGAATCGTCCTCGCCTTTTATGTAACCCCAGGATCAGGATTCAAGGCTCTCTATTCAGTCTTCTTCTTCCTTATGTTTTCTGATGGTTCTTGTGTATCGGTATTAGGGTTTTGTCTCAATTCAATTCCTATTGTACAATTTGAAAACATAGTTTATTTAAATTGATTCCTTTATTGTTAGTCGATTCTATCAAAACGTGATTAGTGATGTTCTGGTACCATTTGTTTATTTGTATTGTCTAAATTCGCCATAGGAGCACTAGGGTTAATATTAGGGTTTAGATTTGTTATCCGGTGATGGAGATGGATAGCTCGCGTAGACCGTTTGATAGATCGAGAGAGCAAGGTATCAAGAAACCCCGACTGACCGACGAGCTCGAGCGTGGCTCTAATTCCAGTGTTCGATCGTTGCCTCAGCGACAAGTAGCTTCTGGAGTTAATTCATTGGCCCCAGCAAGGTTTAGAACAAATGACAGAGATTCCGAAAGCATCGACTCTGGTCGCGGTGGATACCAGCCCCAACCGCTCCACCACGAGCTTGTGAATCAGTACAAAACCGCACTTGCTGAGCTAACATTCAATTCTAAACCGATAATTACCAACTTGACTATAATTGCAGGCGAGAATCTTTATGCCGCGAAGGCAATTGCTGCCACTGTTTGTGCTAACATTCTAGAGGTGAACCCAGTTTACACTGTATAGCTGTTTATGTTCTCAATTGCTGATTACATTGAATTGTAAGACATTTGGAATAAAAATGGCGATTGTTTTGAGTTCTTGATCTTTTTGAAATCACTATAGTGGATGGTGTTATCATTTATTCTTCTTGTGCGTGTGCCAAAATTTTAGTGGAAGTAAAATAAGAAATCTTTGTGTACCACGAGCTTGAAATTAGTGGAATTTCATGTTTTTGAAGTACAAGTTTCCCTCAATTTAAGTATGCCTGCACGATAATGATGGTTGGTGGGAAAAATTGCAGTTACCAACTTAAATGATGATAATGTTTATTTTATCAGTTAGATAAAGTTACTATGCTTCATTTGGTTTCCCTTCCAGATTCTTGTTGAGTCTTTTAGCTATAGATCAGCTGTACCTGAGGTTCTCAAATATCAAGTTACACAATTTTCCACTTAAGAAAGATAATAACTGTACAGCACTCATGATAAATTAAAAAGATTGAAACTACCCTTCAGCCTGCTGATAGCAGGTCGGTCAACTTCATGAGAGCATAATATTGAAGTGATCGTAATTTCATCTGATAGACATCATTACTATTAGAGAGAAGTATTACATAATTCCCAGGCTCAAGTTTGTCTGCAGACAAGGGCAGCAATCTTTTAGCAAATTGAATGTTATGTATTTGTGGGGGAGGATATGTTCACCCCAATATGGCAATCCCAATTAGTTTTGCAGGCTTCTTTTTTATTTTATTTTGTTCAATTAGGTTATAGAATACCTACCACTTATTGTGAATGGTAGGACTGCCTTATTTTTCTGAAGCAAATGTGTGATTGTTTCTCTACCTCTCGAGTTCTTACCTTGTGTTTCTTTGGTTATTGGAGAACAAGAAAGCAGCTGAATTTCATGTTGAGAATCAATTTACTCCAGAGAAGAGACAATTTACATAGCCAAGTCGCATAGAGGCATTGAAGTTGTATAATTTCAATTCTATATTAGTGTCTTGAAGTGAATTAAAGCTGTTTCAAAATCATGTCAGATTTACATATTTATTTCTCTGGGCCAAAGAGCTGCTGGAGTGAATGAGCTATTTATCATAATAAGTAATATCATGCGAGATTTATTTTTGGTACCAAGATTGTGATTTGTGACTGTGATGCAGCACTTTTGGAGCACAAAACATAGTGCTTGTAGATGCTTGGTGCTTTCCCTCTTTGCAACCTTATTTATTTATGTGCAGCAGCTGTTTTCTTGTCTTCTAGAGATTTGTCTAAATGTTTGCGTGAGTGGAATGACCGAGGGGCACTCCTCTCTGTATTATAAGAAAACAAGGGATGTGTGGGTCATTTTTTCTCATAGATGTAATTCGTTGGAAAAGATGAGAAGGCAGATTAAACATGATGAATAAATAAATTGTTGGAAAGCTGTTGCATCTCTTTGCTAATGAGGAAAGAAGGGATGCCAAACGTCTACATTGTGCCCATAGAAGTTGAAAAGAAAGAACAGATTAACCACGATTCACTTTTTGAGCTTACCTGTAATAAGTGACTCTTGTTAATGGATAAGAAATCTGCAATTTAATTAGTCTTACCCGAGTATTTGAAGAGTCATAATAATCAACATATTTCCAGGAGTGAGTCGGACATCTCATCCTTATAATCAGTAATAGTGAATTGTTTTTATTTTGCTGTTTTGTATTGTGTCCTAAGTCTCCTTATTACATGACATAGGCTGGTGGAACTGGTTAAAAAATTATGAATGGAATAACATTTAACTTTGAATAGACAAGACTGATGGTTGTTATTTGTAATTTTGTGCTAGTTATTCTCAATCTCCATTAGTTCTATTTTTATAGAATTTGCTAACAACTTGCATGTGGCTTATGGTTGGCTGGTTTAAATATTTCCCTTGTTACATTTGTCCGAGCAGTAATTCTTTTACTTTGATTAAACTCTATATGTTATTCATAGAAACTCATGTTGCTTCCGCTTCTGTTAATGGATTTCCAGGTTCCCACTGAACAAAAGCTGCCATCTCTTTATCTTTTGGACAGTATTGTAAAGAATATTGGGCGGGACTATATAAAATACTTTGCTGCCAGGCTACCTGAGGTTAGATATCTATTGTTTTGCGTATCCTTATATTGACCTCGCCTTAAAGTGAAATGCATTCATTAATGTTTTCACATAATCTAAATGGAATCCTTCAGATTGTAAAGGCAATAAATTCATACTCTGAACTGTTTAAATTTGGATTATTTACAAGGTTAATGATTTTGTGAGAGCTTGTGTTTCCATTTACAATGAGCAATGATTATCTCAGTATACGAGTTGTTAATATTTGACTTCACATTTTCCCACTGATATCTTTCTGATTTTACACACCTACTTTTAACTAGGTACTTGCCAATTACTCCTTTACATTTTAGGTATTCTGCAAGGCATACAAACAGGTTGATTCCACAATCCATTCAAGTATGAGGCACCTTTTTGGAACTTGGAAAGGAGTCTTTCCTCCCCAGACCCTCCAGATTATTGAGAAGGAACTCGGCTTCACTCCTGCTGTCAATGGTTCATCTACTGCATCTACACTGAGGAGTGACTCACAGTCACAACGACCACAGCATAGCATCCATGTGAATCCTAAATATTTGGAGAGGCAGCGTCTTCAGCAGTCTGGCAGGGTAGGTGAAGTATTCCCAAACACAAAATTATCCTTTTAGTTCACGTTGATGGATATCTTTGGGATAGGTCAAGTTGAACATTCTTGATGCTGTGAGGGTTAGAAACTTCACTTAGGGTCATGCATTCTTTGCCTGGGAAAACTGAGTCTGAAATAGTTTTGAATCATGCTCTAATCTTGTCTGTTGCTTGATGGGACTGTACAATATTTGTGCAGCAGATGAGTTTTCCAAATTAGACCTTTTACAGTTTCTATTGTTTTATTTTGTGATTGAAATTTTAAGAATCCTTGAGACGCCAGGTTTTTCAAGGCTGTACTTTCTAGAAATTTAATTTGTTGAGCGACCTGAGTTTGTGAATATATACTTGAGATGGGATTGGAAACTTTTCTTTTCCTCTCCCCACTTGGGAACTTGGGGGCGAGATGTCAGGAAGTGAAACTCTTGTCCCTCTCATTGATCTAAGGATTTGATCTATAGCGTGCAGGCCCAAAAAGTATGATTAGCTATAGCAGTGTCGTTGCTGACATGTTACTTGTTTTTATTTGTTGACATTATGCCTGTTTTAACATCACATGTCTCATGATTGATTTCTTCGTTCTGTCTTTATTTGTGCTATGAAGATTAAAGGAACAGCTAATGATATTGCTGGGACTATTACAAGCTCTAGTGATGGTGCAGAAAGGCCAGATAGAGCATTAGGTGCAGCACGACCATGGGTGGATTCCAGTGCTGACATGCATGTATGTGAATTAGTGATTTTTATTTCCCTCCTTTTTGTTATGTTTTGTTTTTTTTTTTTTTTTGGAATATTTTCCTCCTTTTTGCTATATATATGTCCTAGTTCTTACCATGATGGTGTGAATTGCAGAACATTCAGGGCTCTAATAGAGATTCGTATAATGATTCTGTTCCTGAAAAGGGCATTGGTACATCCTATGGAGGCAATGAATATGGCTCTGATCTTTCAAGGAATTCAGGTTTGGGTATTGGAAGAGCTGGTGGCAGGACCTCTGAGTTAGCACGTGACAAAGCTTGGTACAAAGCAGGCAGCAATGCTGCAGACATGATGTCTGCCCAAAGGAATGGTTTCAGTCTCAAGCGTAGCTTATCAAATCATGAAGCACCAAAGTCCATCAACTTGGATGAACATAATCAACCAACACAAACCATGACTGGCATAAAGAGTAGTGTCTTGTCAAGTAGCTGGAAAAATTCTGAGGAAGAGGAGTACATGTGGGATGAGGTGAATGCTGGACTGAGTGAGCATGGTGCATCCAATGCCTCTAACAACTTGAGCAAAGAGTGTTGGACTGCTGATGAAGACAATTTGGTAAGCTTGCAAATGTTAAACATTAGAATCAAAGACTTCATTCACTGGCATTGATCATTTGTCTGGTCGTAGTCTTTATTCAGGATGTTGAATTCAAATGATATACTTGAGATTTTCTTGGTTGAATGCCTTTATTGGTTTATGCCTCAGAACGTAAGAGTTGGGTTTTAGTAAATTTCAGTTACTAATGTTTGATATCGCTGTTGGAGACAAGTGATCGGTTGCCTGGACCACTGGTGCCCCATCCCTGGTGAATTTTTGCAAAATCATTTGACATATCTTTTTAGGACCTGGAAAGGCCTTTCAAAAGTCAAAATAAGAGGACTTGTTTATATGTTTGGTAGAGTTGTACATTGAAGGTCAATATTCAAATAGCCACGAGTTTTTGTTGCAGGTGTTATTATAATATGGTCATTCATTATTATGTCTTGCTTGTAGATGGAAACGTTGTTTTGAGTTCTGTGAAGTATGCGGTGGATATAGCTTGGCCCAACATTTAGCTTAACTTACACCAGTCTTGCACTCTGTCTGTAGGCTACTCCACATGCGGGGAATATCTAAAAGTAACTTATAAGCCATTAAAAACCTTTGACTATATGAAAGATGTTTCAAGAGGTTGATTTTTCCCCCTTCATCGAATGATCATGTTATTGGTATAAATTAGCAGTTATTCATGCAATACCTAGGCAAAATAGGCTAGCCTATTACTAGTTCAGATGGCTTTGGTTGGTTGAAGAGTGATGACGTATCATTTGCTCATGTGTTAATAATGGGATTTAACCAGCATCATATTTTGATGAATGACATGGATCTAGGCTTTTGCGGTTGAATAATCTTTTTTCCTCTACTCGCAGGCAGTTGGAGGTCACCTTCAAAGGACGTTGCATGAAGATAGAGATGTGTCCACCGAAATGAAACGCACCTTTGGTCATCCTTGGAAATCACAGCAGCAGCAGTCATTTGATGAGCTGAATCGTAGGCCATGTCCTTCAGAAGGCATTGGATCTGCTCTTGGAAGGTTGCCAAACATTGTGAATTCTTCTAATGTCAAAATGGGAAATCGGCCTTTCTTGTCAAATGCCACATTAGGATCAGTAGGAACAGTGCGACAACAGCAGTCTCATTCTGTAGGAGCAGAGTCTCCTTGGGAGTCACCTTTGCGACAGCAGTCTCCATCACCATCAGTCAATGTGCCCCATCCTCATGAAATGCAGATCTTGGCAGAGCAAGACCATCCACAGACTCTTAAAACGTCTCAATTTTCAGGACGTTTACGGAGCCAAGATATTCGAGATTCATCATCTGTCCTTCCACGTAATGTTCAGGCTGGTAACTCTCAGAGATCACATCAAAAAGACTTGCAAGGTCCATTGTCTTCAGTGTCTACTTTTCAGCCACGACATCATAGTGCAGCTTCACAGCCACAGGATCTTGGTTCCAATAGTGAAGTGCCTGAGATGAAGGGAAAGATGACCCACTCTAAAGAAACTTCAGAGCAGTCAACTACAAGTTCTATGTTAGCTGCAGTTATGAAGAGTGGAATTTTTACAAGTGGTCAGCATGGCATAAGTTTCTTGGATAGGAGGAACCTTCCATCAAAGTCCGGGGTTCAGCCTGCCCGGCCAAGTGGATCATCTCCTACAACATCAGTTTCTTCAGGGCCTGGGGTTGCGTCTCCATCTCGATTAGGTCCTTCTAATGATGGCCTATCTACTCTGTCAAAAGAATCTCAAGGAAAGGTTGGAGCCCCATCAAGGCTGCCTGCGCTCCCACCAGCTTCCTCTACTGTGAGTAGTGCCTCAGCCAAGACATCAAGTGCCACTAATAATAAATCTGATCCAGTTTCAAACCTTTTAAACTCATTAGTTGCAAAGGGTTTGATTTCTGCAAAAACAGATTCATCTACTGAGGTGCCAGCTGAGGTGCTGATTCGATTGGAAGATCAGAGCCAAAGCATCACCACCAGTGGCACCTTGCCAGCTGTTTCAGTTACTGGTTCTGAAACTGTTCCTGTCATATCTACCGGAGATGATCAGCCTGCAAAAGGTTCCTCCAGCCAATCAACCCCTACAGAAATAAAAAATCTAATTGGCTTTGAGTTTAAGCCCAGTGTGATCCGGGAATTGCATTTACCTGTGATCAGAGAACTATTGGATGATTTCCCTCATCATTGCAGTATTTGTGGCCTTAGGCTTAAACATCAAGAACAATTTAATAGACACTTGGAGTGGCATGCTATGAGAGAGAGAGAACAAAATGATATATTGAAGGCCTCAAGGAGATGGTATTTGAGATCAAGTGACTGGGTTGATGGCAAGGATGAAGTTTCATCTGAGTATGAGGGTATTGATTCCATAGATTTACATGGCAATAAATCAAACAGAAGTGAAGAGGATGCTATGGCTCCATCTGATGAAGATCAGTGCTTATGTATGCTGTGTGGTGAGCTATTTGAAGATGTTTATTGTCAAGAAAGGGATGAGTGGATGTTCAAAGGGGCGGTTTACCTACCTGTCTCCAGTAGTGATAGTGAGACGGATACTAACGTCAGTAGTGAAAGGGGCCCCATTGTTCACACTTGGTGCTTATCAGAGAGCTCCATATCTAACGTTCTTGCAAAGGTAAGGCATATCATCTGATAGTGGTGAATAGAATGGTCATCTTTTAATTTTGATTTTGGTATGCTAAGCTCTTTATATTGGGTGGAGCAAGTCCGCCATGATTGATTGCCTCAAAAATACATTCTGGGTAGGAGCAAATATGTTTTGGTTGGAAGATGATATTGGAATTTAGAAATTAAGGTCCTATTCTCTGTTCGAACCTTGCAAATGGCTGGCCTGGTTTTGTTGTGTTATAGATTTCTTTCCTTTGCCTTTGTGGCCGCTACTTTGTTTTCTATTGCCAGCTCGCCCTCATTACATGCTTGATTTATAGAGCCTTGTATGTTCTGGCAGGAACAGGATTAGGGTTTTGTTTTAGATCATCTGAGCAATGTTGTCGTCGTCAGAAGCCTTCAAAGAGTACTCAGGTTTACCCTGCATTTACTTGATTTTCGTGGCTGTTCGGTGCTAAAATGGATTGATGATTGCCTCTAACTGGGCTTAGAGCCATCAAACAAATTTTGTGCTTTTTCTTGCTTGCTTTCTTCTCTCTCGCCCTTCTTCTTCTTCTTCTTCTTCTTTTTTTTTTTTGCTTTTTTTTTTTTTTGGTCTTGTAGCTCGGGGGAAAATTTCATGGTATTCAATATATAAATGGCAGAAAGTTTTTGCAGCTCAGCTTGCCCATTGACGTGGTTGTATTCCTTTATTTTACGATGGCTTAGTGGATTTGCACTTTAGCAGCATCTGGTGCTAATACAAGCCAGAGCATTTGCAGCCATACTCATCACAATTGCCAGATGGGCCTCCTCTGTATCTCCCAACAGCAACGACTGGGCTTCCTGCCTTCTCCTGTTACCCTTTTCTTATTCTGTGCGCGCTCATGCGTGTATCTCACTTCCAGTGAAAGGGGCGAGGGGGCATTGATTCTGTGCTGGGATAAAATAATAGCTGTGTTCTTATCACCTAGCCTCAACTAACTTGTGTTGATTGGATTGTGGTCCTTTATCTTACGCAGAAGAGAGATTGTCGGTTGTGAATTTGGCTGTTTGAAGTTAATTTACTTGTATATGTGTTTCGTTTTTCATTTTTTATTTTTATTCTCTTAAACAGCTATAGTGTGGGTAGAAAATTGAGCCTGCTCTCTAACGAGTGAGGGCATCCGTCTATGCCTTAATGTTGCTGCTTTTTATGAATCCTTTTACCCGTCGATTCCCTTAATCTAGTTAAGAAACCTGCATTTAGCTTAGTTTGAATCAATGTTAGAGAACCACGCAGTATAACGGTGAGAATTTAAATGCATCCGTTGGGGGAAAAAAAGGAAAAGAAACTGAGACCTCCAATTTATTATGCATTCCTATCGTTGTTACCAATTATCTTAGTCCTCGACTGTTCGAATTGGAGTTCTTTCGCATAATGGGGGAAAATGGGTAACTTGGTGAAACTGAATCATGTCTGCACTGTGCTAGCTCCTGAGAAAAAAAAATATCCGGTAATAGCACCAGGGTAGGGCTCCGCTTAACCGCTCTCATCAAGTTTTATCACAAATTTGAAGCTCGGAAACAGACAGATCATAAATACGGCTTGGACATTTCATCCTCATATGATACATGGGCCCAAAAAACAAATGTAAGATATTTCGTGGCCGTATTGGGACTCGTCTCAAGTTAACAGAACTGGGAATTTTAGAGCTAAGGTTTGTGCTTATAGGCAGGCTTGTGATGCTGGGTGTAAATGTAATCCAAGTGGGCCTCCGCAATCCTCCTCCTCTCACTGCATTCTTCATCCTCCTCATCACACTGATCTGATTCCGCTAGCTGCATGATGTTGCACCCAACGAGAATAAAACATGCTAAACCCAAATAAAACAATCCGAATATGATAGATAAAATTGTACATGTTGAAGATGGAGCATATCTTACTTCGATATCAAATTTGAGCTCGGTGGTTGAGCCGGCATTAGTGACATCGATGGCCTTCCCTTCCTTTTCATCTGTATCAAGTTCGATCTCAGAAACCAGCCGACAAAAAGAGGAAAAACAACAAACACCAAGAAATCAAATTTTGTTTCTCAGTTACCTCGACTGGGTCGAATAAGACGAGCAGATGCTGAGAAATGAAAGAGAAGCAGAAGAGAGAGAAGGAAGCAGAAGAACACACGAAGGCCTGTTTTCTTCATTATCGGCTCTTGCCAGGTTAGAGCGAGACAGAGCGGAAGTGATAGAAAGTAGCAAAGATATGAGTCTGAAAAGGAGGTGGAAGAAAGGGGTTAAATAAAGGAGCAGAGGAGACAGTCACGAGGAGGCTCTGATTGGGGGAAGGAAAAAAAAAAGAAAGGAAGTTACTAGTTCCATTGGGGCCTACTAATTTTAACGTATGCTTTGGTCAACTCAGATGAGAATACAAGCGTCCATGTGACGGGAGCAAGCACGGCATCGCTTCATGCAGAGGGAAGCGTTTCTCTGAGGAAGAAGACAGACAGAGAGAGGAGGGATTGTCACCATCATGGTGGTCCGTTAAGGTGCTACAAAACAAAGCCAATTAAAGTGGGCACTGTCGACTTAAAAAGAGTTTACACGTTTTTGCTCTCTTCCTTTTTCTTGGTACTAAAATGAAGATTCTTAAGTTTGGAAAGAAAGGAGCTCATAAATACGCACTCTATTATGCGTCTAGTGGATGTCCAGTCATCATCAAACCTTGCATCTGTGGACTGCCCACTGATGCTTCCAATTTGATGAATAGTGCTTGTTATTTTAATAATAACGTGCAATAATTAATAGGCAATGATAAAAAGATGGGAAATTTTTTCCATTGTTAAAAGGTGAAGAAAGCCAGAACAATACAAGACGTGAGAAACCGAAATTCCTAAATGTACTCGAATCACAGAAACCTGCACCTAAACAACGAGGAAGAGAGCTGGCAAATATATGCCCGCCGTCCACACTTCATGTCTTATAAATACTCACCGTCATTTGATTATTTTAAGTTGTTATTTTTCTTGCATCAGGATGAGAGCTGCACAATCATTTTCGAGAAATTTATCAGCACATAAACTATAATTATTTCGCACAAGAGACATTTGTATGCGTTGAATACATAACTCATTAGTCAGTAACTAATATTTTCCACATATGACGTTTGGTGCACAATTAATTTACTGACCCTTAGTAAAATAATGCATGCAGTGTTATGATTTGGTGAGCGATTCGATGCTGAGCAAACAGAACAAATTAGTAAAAGACAAAAACAAGTTAGGGATGATGAACTGGGAATGCACATTTAGCTGTTCACATCGTAATGAAACAGTGTATTCTGATCCCAGAACCAGAAAAGAAGCGTTTCACTTCACTTCAAGTAATGTGGAAGACAGTGAAATGCATGTGGCCTGCCAATAATCCCATCGACAGGTCATGATATAGAATTCGAACCCTTTTTTCTTTGGTTGTTTGAAGTACGAGGTTTAGTTAAATGTACGAACAAAATTATAAGATTATTTTATGGAAACTACATTTCAAAATATCAAGATTATGCACCTGATGGAACCATGTGTGTGGATTCGAAGCATGTTAGGTTAATGCTAACTAATTGATGTTTTGCACAGCTAATGTATGGCATGCATTCGAGTGTTTTTTTTTTTTTTTGAACCAGCCGTTTGAATGTTGATTGAAATGCCCTAACGACACATTTGTGGGATTTGATGAATCCCTCAATCAACTTGACCCAATTCAGGAACATCAATTATTGGACTATGATTTAACGGTGTTTAAGTATCTTTCTTTTTCTCCAAAAAAAAAAGTTTTTTTTCATCTTTTGAGTATAGTATCAAACAATAATTAAGAGCTTGTAATTCGAAGGACGTCCTCAGGTTGCAATCCATGTAATGTAAAGGGGTGAGAGAGCATGTGTCGCTTCCCAGAAAACGAAAAGTTCCAAAACGACCCATTGGGTGTAATTTGGACATTGGATGCTGTGGGCCAGAAACCCAAACATGATAAATAAGAATCCCAACTTGGCACCAAAAGGGGAGGATTTCAACACCAACAAGAGGTGATCTAGTTGGTAAGGAGTCAGATCATAACCCACAAGATCACAAGTTTGAATCATACTGCCGATATGAGGATTTTGTTAGTAGATGATCTATAAGTGCCTCTGTAAGCACTCTTTGAACCTAGAGGTATGCCCTAGTCTTTGTAAACTCCCGAAACCCAACTCACCTAAACTTTTGTATACCAAAAAATAATAAAGTGTATTTGAAAATATTATTAATTTGATTTTTAAACATATCAATATTTGTTTATTTCAAATAGCACTCTATTTAGAATTAGATTATAAATATTCTATAATTTATAGTTCAAGAGGAAAAATTTTATCAGTAAATATTGACATGAAAATATTGTAGTAATGTATTATGTGTTTATGAAAACATGACAAGTTTTATTTTAGAAGAGAAAAACATAACATGGGAAAAATTATATTCCTCCGGTTCTAAATATAAGATCCTTTTTGTAATGTAAATTACACTAAAAAAAATCTTATATTCAATACGGGAGCAGTATGATTTAAATAGGGGTGTGAAAAGAGCAACGCGCGCAGCTGTTAGATACGGATGTAGGGATACAGAACCAGAAGGGCGAAGGAAAATGACAACAGTTGAGGCCAACAAAGAAGCAGCAATGGGCAGGATTCCGTGGTCGTGACTTTTGTCTTTAACCCATCCCTCACAAAATTCGGATCTATCTAAAATCCCAACTTTAATTTCTCCATCATATCATCCCCACCCCTTTTCTCGTGATTTAGTGATGTCGCCTCTCATGATGCCGGTAATAATAGTAATACCCAGCTATTTTGTTGCTTGGGTCTCTGTTTAGGATTTATCTTTTTCGAAGGGGCATTCATGTTCAGGCTCTTCGGTTCCTGAAATCAGTCATTCTGGGGAGTGGGGCAGGCACGTGACCTAACCGCGGCATGCGCATGCACTCTTTCAGCTCCCCGCGCGCCTCCTCAAAGTAAAGTCAGCGATTCAAAAAGACATGCCCGCATGTGCACATACATGGGGCGTTGGACTTTTTGAGTTTGACATCGACGGAGTTAATTAGTGATACACACACAGCCCCTTCATTATATAATAATGCTGCGCTGCCTTTTCACACTAACCTTTGGATTCACTCACTTGATGGCCAGGCTCCGATTTGAATCCGTAAAACCCGTCACCTGTGTCTCACAATTCATTTGTCCCGGATCTCTTCAATACTAGCACCCCCCCCCCCTTTCTTATTATACTGCTTAGCTTCCAATTATGGCTGGTCAATCGTCAAACTTTTCGTCCTATAACGGCAAGTTGGAACGGGTGACATCCATTCTGTTAGTGAAGAAAGGCGCAAAGTTCCTCCTCCCATCAAAGGTTTTCAACTCTTTGTAATATAATAAAAATTTTAGCTTAGTCCTGAACATAGTAAGAAAATTAACTAGGGACGCTAAGGCTAGTGGCTGGTAATCACTGACTAGTAGGAATATTTTGTTAAAAATGTCACGAGTTCTCTCCATACAGACTACAAATGATTGTTTTAAATATTTTTCTATGTTACGAGTTCATTTAAATCACCTTATATTAGAAATGGGAATGAGTATTCTGGAGCATGTTATCAGTACGTAGCCTTGAGATTATAAATTCAAGATATCAGCACGTCCCAAAATCTTGACTTTTTGTCGGGGTGTTGTCTGGCTCCATTCTCCGTGAATTTAAAGACAGCAAGTCTGTAGGTATCTACTGAACCAAACCCCAACAGCACCGATGCCCCAAAAGGAGGGGAGGGAGGCGACATGAGATCTGCAAGTAGTTCCCTCCCTGTCCTGTTGCCCGAGTTAGTTCATCTATATGATACATACACGGTCAACCTCCCAGCACCCACTGATCCATTCATTTCCCGCCTAATTTTTTTAACTACCCACTAGTGAAATTCATTCACCTCCACTATAAACAATTGATATACCATGTGAACACATCTTGAAAGCCACCCGGTCGATGTGATATATACACTCCCACATTTTAATATTATATGCTCCCACCTAGTTGATTTGTACAAGATCTTATTTTTATTGTTTTCAAATCCTAGTCACACCTAAGATCATTCAATCTATAAATCACAATTAAGTGGACATCATCGGGGATACTTCTATTTATTTTTTCTTTCCATCTACTTAATTGAATTTGACTAGCTTAATTAGATTTTAGAAAATAATAACAGCTCACAGTCGACCTTAAAACCAAAAAGGATGGCCCGTGATCCCCATGCTTCTCCTTTCAATTATATTGATCAAACCAATTCTCGAAGATCTTTAATTGAGATTATGGGCATTCCCGCTTATAATTTGGCCACAGACTAACAACTGAGTGGAGGAATGATTATGATATTCTGTACCTGTCTCTTGCCAACCACTGGCTTTGCGTTATAAATCTCCCTAACACCACTCTCAACTTGCTTCACATCTATCTTGTCCACCAGCATGGTTCCGATTCGGCTCCCGTTCGCACCGATTATTTTGCTTCTTGTTATCTTGTCGGACACAGCGTGCCCGTGTCTTGCTGTCGCTTCCGACCAAGAGCTTCTGAAAGGCTTCTCTGCAACTCCACTCTCTTCAGTGACTTCCTTTCAACCTATTCTCAGCGATCAGTTCGGCAACTTCTCCCTGGGTTTCCTCCGTCTGAACCGTACCCAGCTTGCCCTCGCCGTCCTTCACATCGCTTCCTCCGAGCCTCTCTGGTTCGCCAACCCCACCCACCTGGCTTCGTGGTCCCAATCCACTCGGCTCTTCTTCAATGGTAGCCTGGTCATTTCGGATCCCGTAACAGACTTTTTGTGGTCAACTGCCACAAACGGTGACCGCGTGGTGCTTCTCAACACTTCCAACCTGCAAGTACAGAAGAACGGGGAGCCCGGCTCTGTTATCTGGCAGAGTTTTGACTTTCCCACTAATACCATCGTTCAGGATCAAAATTTCACGGCTCGCATGGCTTTGGTGTCGTCGAACGGGCTATATTCGCTGCGGATGGGAGACGACTTCATGGGTCTATATGCCAGGCACAGAGAAGGATCTGACGAGTTATATTGGAAGCACAATCCTTTGGAAGCTAAGGCCGAAATAGTGGAAGGCAAGGGACCCATTTACGCCCGAATCAGCTCCGACGGCTATCTGGGCATGTACCAAACAGGCACCAAACCGGTGGACGTGCAGAAGTTCAACAACTTTCAACGCCCGAACCCTCTGTTTCTGATGCTGCGCATAGAACCGGACGGGAATTTGAAGGGTTATTGCTGGGACGGATCAACATGGGTATTAAACTACCAGGCCATAGACGAGATATGCGAACTGCCGAATCCCTGCGGTCCCTACGGTCTGTGCACACCGGGCGCGTCGGGATGCTCCTGTCTGGATAACCGGACGAGCTATTCACCGGGCGGGTGCATGAAGGAAGGGTATGGAGACTTATGCGGGGCAGGGATAGGAGAAGATAAGTACTGGGTTCTGAGGAGGAAAGGGGTGGAGCCGGCCCACAAAGAGCTAATGAGGTACGAGAGGGCGACGTCGGAAGAGGAGTGCGAGGACATGTGCAAGAAGGATTGCAGGTGCTGGGGAGCTCTGTACTACAACGTAACCGGGTACTGCTATGTGTCGGAG